AGTGGAGCCAGTTCAATACTCTGCTGAGTAAAGAACTAGAGTCAGCATCTCACAGTAAGATACAGCTTGATCTTTCCAATGGAGACCAAAATGTACCTTCATTAGTACACTTTGCTTGTTGTGTTGTGGGGGAATTTCTTTCCAAACCTTTCAAAAATCCGCTTGTGCTCATATATTAAAATACTATCATCGATATCTTTGCATGCTTAGCTTTAAATAATGACAGAGATTCTCAACTTGTTAAAAATAATTGTCCAGTTGAAGCAATAGTAATTTAAACCCAGATATAGACCTTGCATAGTAGTATCAGTCATTGAATTAGCTACTGCTTTTAAAAATCTAGCTGGAGTATTTGATTCTTTGCTGAATAACTCCATGAGCTGGTCATATGGATTGTAAAGAAGTATTTCCTTCTGGTTGTTTGAAATTCCTTGCTGGTCACTTTATTCTAATCCTCTCATTCTTTTAACACCATTGCTCTACTGCCTGCATTTCTAGTGGTTTTAAATACCACAGTAAACTCCTTTATAATTTTTCCCAGTTTCAGACTAAATTATCTGTGGTGTATTCAGATTTGGATCCTAGCAGTCCTCTTCCAAAACCTTCTCCTAGGTCACCTGTCCCAACTGTCCTCTCTTGTCACATGCAAGTCGTGCCCCCAAGCTAGGATGCCCCCCACTCCCTGTGCCATGTTCATGCTTCACATTCCTGATCGCCCAGCCCAAGGCACCAGCGCCCTGCCTCTTTCTTCCTGCATCCCCAGCAGGGAAGCTGAAGCCACCCATGCACACCTACTCATGTACGGTGGGAGAGCCCTCCTGGAGGACACCCAGCACTCTGGATCTGCTCCACATATGGTCTCCTGTCCCAGGACCATACGTGCTGCCACATCCTCATCTCCTCCCTGACATGTGGTTTGGCAAAGGTTCTCCTCAAGCTGGTGAAGAGGCACAGTGGGACGCTGGGGTGGCAGTGCCTGGAAAGCAGCACTTGGCGTGGGCAGCAATAACCATTCCAAGGTAGTTTTCATGAGAGATGAGTTGTTTGCTTGATGACTAATGAATTTGCTTTCAAAGCACATTTTGGCTCATTCTAAGAGTTATTTGTAAATGTATTTTGAATTGTGTGTGTGTGTGTCAAAATAATTTGGGAGGAGCAGCCTGTATTTACCAAACACCTTCAGGGAGGAGTGGTGCTTCCCCAACACAGCAGCCTGAAGGTTGGGGTTTTCAAACAAAGCCTGGACCCCTGATCCGCTCCCTCTTCTTCCTCTTTCGGGAAGGGGACTGCCCAGTTTGTCCCCAGCAGCCAAAATAGAGTCTGCTGAACAGAGGTGTGCTCAGTAGCACAAAATGAAGGGATTTTGTGCTAGCTAAATATTTATTGAGGCAAGTTTAAAAAAAAAAAAGGGGGGGGGGGGGG